AAAAAAATAGCAATACCACATAGGCTGATTTTTACCATTTAGATTTTCCTAATTAAATTCACCTGGCTTGGTATATTTTTCTTAAGTTTACATTACACTTTTAGCACCATTTTAACACATTCTGAAATTTGTTTTCACCTGTAAATCTTTACTGAATGTGATTTGTCTATATTTGCTTTTTCATTGAAATATTACTAATATTTTCCAAGTCTTTTTCATATTCCAGTTCTAAGGAGAAAAAATTCTAAGAACTATCCACTTTTCTAAACTTGTGACATGATATGAAATATTTTTCAAAGAAAAAAATTGTTTGTATCGTCTGTCCTTAAACCTAAGGTCATATTACAAATATCCTTTTAATTTCACTATATTCATTATGAGCCATTTGTATCGTAGTGGTTAGCACCTTAGTCTCAAAGTAATATGAGGATACTTAGGAATTTTTATTTCTAAAGATCGAATCCCTCGAATAGCATCTTATATATTTTTAATTAATTAATTAAAACATTTTTTTCTCCCAGAAAAGTTTTGATTCTCATTATGTCTAAATTTTAAAAACTTACAAATTGAATATGATTTCTTAATATTCGAAGCTATAGGCATTCTTCATGCCTTGCCCCCCCCCCCCCCTCTTCATTAAAGTGTTTTTAATCATTAGTTTTATTCAAGTCATGTGGACAATAGTAATATTAAAGTTGTAATAAGGATCTCCAAAAAACAGCAGGAGCTGCTGTTGGATTCTTTGTGTTGAGATTGTCGTTATCTGTTGGACTCTTTGAGTTTAGATTGTTGTTATCTGATGGAGTCTTTGTGTTGAGATTGTCGTTATCTGTTGGACACTTTGTTTGAGATTGCTGTTATCTGTTGGACTCTTTGTGTTGAGACTGTCGTTATTTGTTGGACTATTTGTTTTGAGATTGTCGATATCTGCTGGACTCTTTGTTTAAGATTGTCGTTATCTGTTGGACTCTTTGTGTTGAAGTTGTCGTTATCTGTGCGACTCTTTGAGTTGAGACTGTCGTTAGCTGCTGGACTCTTTGTTTGAGATTGTCGTTATCTGTTGGACTCTTTGTGTTCAGACTGTCGTTCTCTGATTGACTCTTTGTGTTGAGATTGTCGTTATCTGCTGGACTCTTTGTGTTGAGATTGTCGTCATCTGCTGGACTCTTTGTGTTGAGATTGTCGTAATCTATTGGACTCTTTGTGTTGAGGTTGTCGTTATCTACTGGACCCTTTGTGTTAAGATTGTCGTTATTTGTTAGACTCTTTGTGTTGAGATTGTCGTTATTTGTTAGATTCTTTGTGTTGAGATTGTCGTTATCTGTTGGACTCTTTGTGTTGAGATTGTCGTTATCTGCCGTACTCTTCGTGTTGACATTGTCGTTATCTGCCTGACTCTTTGTGTTGAGATTGTCGTATCTGCTGGCCTCTGTTTGTTACTCTTTGTGTTGAGATTGTCGTTATCTGTTGCACTCTTTGTGTTGAGATTGTCTTTATCTTCTGGACTCTCTTTGTTGTGCTAGTCATTATCTGCTGGACTCTTCGTATTAAGAATGTCGTTATCTGTTGGACTCTTTGTGTTGAGAATGTCGTTATCTGTTTACTTTTTGTGTTGAGATTGTCAAAATTCTGCTGGACTCTTTGTTTTGAGATTGTCGTTATCCATTAACTCCTTGTGTTGTTATTGTTGATATCTGCCGGGCTCTTTGTGTTCAGATTGTCTTTTGCGGTCATCAAACAAGCAGCCGGAAAAGTGAGTTTTTTGTGAATTTATAGGTAGAGGTAACTGTAATCACTTACTAAGATATATGTATTCAAAACTTACAATATTTTGGGGGGAAATGAATATGTTGGTACTATGTATACATGTTTATATCAAAAGTTGGTAATTTAAATGTAGTATTTTCTCTATTCTATTATTCTTAGTTCGATCTTTCCGATATAATCAAACTTCATCAAATGATCTCTAATGATTAAATGTAGTAGATTTGTGCTACTGTTTATAAATTCTGAAAAGCATAATTATTGACTTGATGTTTCGAAATGCCCCGGTATGTTAAATATCGAACGTGTTGAATTCCCAATACTAATAGGTAAGATTACTTGATGTTTCTAAAAAAAAAAAATACTCCTTTACGCTCACCTGAGTCAAATGCTTAATTTATCTTCTGATCGAATGTTTTCAATTGTCTGTCTGTCTTTTTGTCGTCGTTGTTGTTTTTGTTGTCGTCATAGATTTATCACATTTTCATCTTTTCCTCATTGAACCACCACCGTTCACGGTAGCTCAGTCGGTAGAGCGCTCGCTCCGTGATCGGGAGGTCGTGAGTTCGTACTCGGCCGCGACCGACCTAGTCGTTAAAATGCGTAGCAAGTGTTCCTTCGCCATGCGCTCGACACTTTGAAGTGAAATTTGCGGGTCCTTCGGATGAGACCTTAAAGGTCAAAATTTAAAGCCCTTCACTGGCATACGGTGTCGTCTCCATATGAGTGAAAAATTCTCGAGAGGGACGTTAAACAATATACAATCAATCAATCAATCATTGAACCACTAAACCAGTTTTAAACATTGGTGAAAGGGATTCAGATTTCTTAAAATAAAGACTATAAAGGGGAGATAATTATGAATTAGTGAAAATTAAATGGCATCTTTAAAAAATCTTCTCGAGAAACCATTGGGTCAGGAAAGATTGATTGAATAATTGTATATTGTGTAATTTAACATCTCGCTGGAGAATTTTTCACTATGGAGACGCCTGCCAGGAATGACGTCATTCCAGGAAAGACGAGCTTCATTTGGAATCATTCTCAGGTAGTATAGATTTAGATTTGTTTTAATTATGCTCACTTGAATAGGGTGGGCCACAATAGTTGATCAAAGGTTTACATAGGAATATATATTTTTTTCAAAAACCACTGCATTGAAACTCATGTTGATGTATTCAAATTAGATTGTTTATAATTCATTTTTCTTTTCAAATTATGACCCCCGGGGGTAGGGTGAGCCCAAAATGGATGATCAATCTTTTGCATAGGAATGTAAAGGAAAACATACTTTGAAAAACTTCAAATTTGTTTTTATCAGGGCCCTCTGGGGATAAGGTGGAGCCACAATGGGCGATCAAATGTTTTACATAGAAATATATAGGAAAAATATTTTAAAATAAATTCTTCGCAAGTTCTTCACAGTTTTAACACTAAAATTTTTAAAAGCATGACCTGGAACTGGGCTTTGTTTTCGCATTTTTACAGTGTAAAATGTAGGAGAAGAAAAAAATACCTTTTAAAATCGTTTTAAGGACGTCAGAGTTATACGTGTATGCTACATTGTCAATTAATATGTACGTGGCACCCTCAAGTAATATATAATTCAAGCCCCCTTCCCAAATAACCTAGCCTATGTGCTCTGGTGAGCAATTATCCCATGGACCTTTTTCATTGCCTGTCCTGAAAAGAAACCGCAGTTTTTTTTGCGGCCTTTACCACATTGTTCACGGGCATCTTCAATTGTAACTGTAACAAGATGTGAAAAGTCTCAATTGCAAATGATCATCAAGCATAGTGTCACCCTTTACATGTAGTTTACAAATGATGATTGGTCAAATATAAACGCTATTAAGAACAAACTTCTGCCTGATAGGGCGTGATATGATCGGAGTAAGGTCATTGCAGGTCTTCGAAGGATCTCAAGGAACGAAGGGAGATCGTAGTGAGAACTTAGTACAAACGTAGAGGGAGCGTTGTATGAGCGTGCTTGTTAATTTCCTACGCTCTTACGGCGCTTTTACTACGATAACAAAGATCTCTCTACGATGCTTTCGCGCTGCTTGTACGATTACGGCGCTTCTACTTCGCTCCTTTTACGGCTTAACCCCGATTCATGTTTGCCACGATCCCGCAACGCTTGTTTTGAACATGTTCAAAATAAGCGTGGTAGGAGCGTAGAGCTCTCCGATCATGAATACCCTATTGCGATCATATTACGCTTATGACGACGTTTCTCCTGCGATTTGTTACGATCGGATAAGCTTTCGACCAAGCTTTGATCGTAGAAGAAGCGGCGTCTATGAGTGAACGGGGGGTAAAGTGTATTCATTATTGACCTATATATACACTAGGAAAAAGGCCTAGTGAATACGTAAAATGTATTTACATGTACAGTGCTGTATGTACATATATGTTTCCGGTCTCTATGTTACAAACGATCGAGGTAAAGGCATGAACAATTCTTTAGAGGGACGTACACATATGTAAAACAATATACAATTAATCGATCATAAATTTAAGTCATGCTTAAGTTTAAAAGCTTACAATTAAAGAAAATGTTTGAATGTTTTATTAAGTTTGATGGGTTTATAACCCCACTTCAAGAAGTCAGCAAAAGTTGTGCTTTCCTTTCAAAGTTCATCCATTAATAATATATAGACTTAAATCAGTTGAAAAACAGACGCAGAACCAGGTTTTTTTCCAGGTAGGAGGCGGAGTCCACCCATGAAAAAAAATCCAACCAAGAGAAGCAAAACAAAAAAAATATTTTTTTTCTCAAAGAAGATGAACCTATTTTGTGTGAATATGTGTGGTAAGGATGCATGGGTTTAATAACCATAGGAAATGTCACACTTATTCTTCTCTACACCGGTTGATATAGATTTTTCGGGTATTTAAATCACGTGTCCTGGTAACAAGTAACGGTAAAGAACGAAGACGAGGAAGTAAATTGAGATGAACGGGATTATCAGGGAGGCCATGTTAAGATGTTGAGGTTAGACAAGTGTTTACATTTTTCCCAAATAATAATTTTTTTTCAAACATAAGGAAATTTTAATTCACGCGGGTTTGTTTTCAAACTGTAAAAAAAATTATCCTTCTTTTCTAAATCGAGTTGTCCAAAAATTTAACATAGGAAACACACATGAAACAAAACTACTATATTTTTAAAAATTTGAAACGGCGTATATTTTCTGTAATCAGTGACCCATACCTCCATTTACTTTATACAGAGCCATCTGATTTTTTATCCAAACCCCGTGATGGACCCCCTGGACAGAGCTCAAGTACTCCTCCTCTGTGACCTGTGTCATAAAGCTGCATTACAGAGTCATTGTGAACTTTGTGAGACTAACATGTGTGAGGCATGTGTAGGGGAGCATCTGTCTGATTCATCCAAAAGACATAAAGTTGTACCATACAAACACAGAACTTCAACTACTAACGTTAACTACCCAAAATGTCCAAAACACACCCAGAAACATTGTGAACTTTACTGTGAGAAATGTGACATTCCCGTCTGTTCTACCTGTCTCTCCTCTGATGAACATCATGGGCATAAATTAACAGATGTCTTACAGAATCCCAGCTTCATTAAAGAAATTTTGAACAAGGATTTGAAGGAACTAGAAAAAAGAATATATCCTACATATGAAGAAATAGCATCAGATTTAAAGTATGAAAAACTTAACTTGGAAAAACATTATGAAAAACTGACAACAGCTGTCACCAAACAAGGGGAAGTTTGGCACAGAGAAATTAACATCATTGTCAACAAACAGAAATCTGAAATTGATGATACGAAAACTAAACACCTGGCTGCCCTAAATAAACAGAAAAAAGAAATCAACCAGATTACATCTGAAGTAAAAGAGTGCATCCTTGATCTGAAAAAAATACTCGACTCCAATGATTTCTCCGTAACCTCTGCTGCTTACAAATCCAGAAATGCTGAATTCAGAAGTTTACCTCCTAAAGTGAATGTAACATTACCAAGTTTTTCTCCTAATCCGATCATTACAGAACAGCTCAAGCAAATGTTCGGTTTTCTGTCAGCATTTTCCCTAACAACAGAAGAACATGGCTACACAATGAAGACACCAGAAGCTGTATCCTGTCCTCCAGTTAAACCCCTGCTTGATGAACCAGAACTCATCACCGCCATAAACACAGGGTATGAATTTCTACGCAGTGTTACTACTTTCAATGATAAAAAAATCTGGACAAGTGGAGATGACAAAATTATGAAACTCTACAACCTCCAGGGCAAACTGCTGAAGTCAATCCAAACCAAATCTGGGAACAGATCCCATGATATAGCAGTGACAAGGAGTGGTTATCTAGTTTATACTGACCCTGATACAAGAACTGTAAATATACTGAAGAATAAACAGATACAGGAAGTGATCAGACTTCAAGGGTGGAAGCCTTTCTTTGTCTGTAGTACCTCCTCTGATGACCTCCTGGTTACCATGCACAGTGATGATTTTAAACAATCAAAAATCGTCTGCTACTGTGGCTCCACAGAGAAACAAACCATTCAGTTTGATAGTGAAGGTAAACCTCTGTATTCACCTGGTAACCTTAAATACATCAGTGAGAACAAGAACCTGGATATCTGTGTGACTGACTATAGAGCCAGTGCAGTAGTGGTGGTTAATCAGGCAGGCAAACTCCGATTTAGATACACTGGTCATCCCTCGACTACCAAGGGATCATTTGATCCATGTGGCATTACAACAGACAGCCAGAGTCAGATCCTGACAGCAGACAGTGACAATGACTGTATCCACATTCTTGATCAGGATGGACAGTTCCTCTGTTTCATCGATATCTGTGATCTACCATGTGGTTTATGTGTAGACACCAGAGACAACCTCTTCGTGGCAGAGTATCTCAGTGGTAAAGTGAAGAAAATAAGATACATGTAATCTTTTTGTTTGAATAACACTTGTTAAACTTCTATGCTCTGCAAACACTCTAATATATTTTTGATGCAGTTAGAGTGATTTGCCCTTATATCGTAAATACACGTATCATTTTCCATAGTCATATGCAATTTATCCATAGCTTTTTTAATGAAACAAGAAAAATAAATGTATCACTTAATTGGCATGTTTTAATGGTTTCACAGCGTGTGAGTTATTAAGGTTTGACTGTATATTTGATCCCAAAAGACATGAGAAATCCGATTCACAACTTTTTTTTTGTATTGTAGACGTTTTCATGTCAATTTAATTCACATATATCTTTTAATACATGGACAAAATCGTTTAAACCGATGTAAGTTATAATCCATGCAATATTAGCGCAGATTCTCCTCTGCTCAACTTATTATTGAACATAATATCAAATACTTCCTTGATGTGCAATACAATCTCTCTGAATGTCTTGATTTAATGTCATATTTAAAGACAGTATCACTGATATTTCACTATGGGTAGTCACTCATGTCTGTTGTAATCATCAGCTCCCCGTGTTGAGCCTCAGTAGTCTTCTTACTCTCCTTACATGTACATGTATGAGGCTGTATTGGGTCCTTGACTAACAGTGTTCCTTAACAAACAAACAAAATTAATGGTTTATGTAAATCCTAGGAAATTTTTCACAGTAAGATTATCAATTTGGTATAGCTTAAGAAAAACCCATTGAATCTTTTTATTTTAAAGTTTTTAGTGTCATATACTGAAAGGAAAAAGAAACGCAGGGTAAACATTTGAGTTTAATTAAATTTGTTTTTCTTAAAATATGTTTTAGTTTTCCTCTCTAACTTTTAAAATCGTCTTTCAAAAAAGATATAACCAAATTCTCATTTGATTTTGTCTAATAATTCATGAGATATTGAAGCTCAAATGACGATACCCCACACTAATGGTAATCTAACAACCAAGCTATATGATAAACGTGATGACTTTAACTTTTCTATCGTCAACTTCCCTTACTTATGCAGCAATATACCTTCATCACCTGCATACGGAGTATTTATCTCAGTTGATTCGATACGCAAAAGCATGCTTTACGTATGAACAATTTCTTAAACGAGGTAAATTATTGACAAGCAAGTTGATGAAACAAGAATATCAACAGTCTCGTTTAAAGTCATCATTTCGTAAATTCTATGGTCGATACAATGACCTTGTCAGCAAATACAATTTATCATTGAATGAAATGCTGACTGACGTTTTTCATACCAATTGTTAGTCCATTATTTATACACTGAATTGACCACGGATTTTTTCCGTTATTTCCTGATTATGACAACGAGCACACGGCGGGTGTGACCTGTCGGCAGGGGATGCTCACTCCTCCATGGCACTTGATCCCACCTCTGATGTTTCGGAGGTCCGTGTTTGCTCTGCTCTTATTTTGTATATTTGTTTAATGGACGTTGAAATTGAATACTGTTCGTTATTTCAACATCCTTCCCCTAAAAATGAAAATCAAAACTCGTTTTATCTTCAATGCCTTCCCCGTGCATCTGTCAGAGCCTTATTTCTCCTATGCATGGAATTTCATTAAAGTGTTTATCTTCAAACCATGGCTATATTTAGCATGGTTATCCACGCCAAAAAAATAAGTCAAACGGCGCGCGCATGCGCAAGTGAGAGGAATGCAACAGTACGTTGACTGGCTCAAAAAACCAAATTGCGGAATTGTTTTCTTTCAAATTTCGTATGAATGTAATGATTTTAATCGTCTACTGTATAAATGGCTGTTTTTGTGGTAGTAAGGCGGCGATTTAAGAGATGGCAGGACAAATAACCCACTCGTAACATGACTCTGTTTCGTTTTAACGTCATCGTCACGGTTGAGAAAAAACCCATTCCAGACCCTCTCTGACAATGAGTAACAAGTTTTATGGGGGAGAATTTACAAGAAACTGCTTAGTAAACCAACATTGCCCTTTTCATTTATTAGACAAATCGAAAACAAGACCCCATTGAACTTCCGTAAACTGTGCCAAATTGCAAGAAATTCACAATGTCTCTTAATATTGAAAAACGATGTGCATACCTCATATGCATCAAATAATGCAACAAGATTTTTTGACAAACTCGCCGTTATCAAATTGCACGTGTTTTGGGCTATTTAGCGTTTTCCCTACATGACGTCATAACGTTACGTTTGAGTAATTCTGAACACTGATTTTGGTGCACAGTACCTTAATTTCTCTTCCGACCAATTTTCGTAATTTTCGGTCAAGAGGTCAAATTTTTTTTCGAACATTATGCTACCCTGCGTTTCTTTTTCCTTTCAGTATATTTAGAAAAATTAATATTTAGACCTGTCCAGGTGTCATTAATGATCTAAAGTCTGGTATAATACGTTAAGCTGAAATACATGAGGGAGCAACTAAAGCATGCTGATTATATCCATTGTTTTGACATATATAAGACATTGAAATAAACAAAAATAAACGTTTAAACCCTAAGGGAAGTTTTCATGGCGTCTTAAAACTACCCATTCTGTTTATCTTAACTGACTTTGCATTACAATGTCACATAAAAACTCTTACATTGTATTTGTTTAAAATTTCGTTACGCATTGATTCATGTCTCTGTTTACTTTATAAAGAGTA